AAAGAAGTTTTATTTATCTGAAGCACCTAACTCATCCTGTGTCTGTGGAGGACTGAGCTGCACATGCAGGGCATGCAGACCAGGGGATGGGCGAGCCTGGGAGGCAAAGGAGAAGGCTGCAAGACACCATTCCCAGAAGTAGGCAAGGCATCTCTGTTTCCTAGACCCATGGAGTTCAGCTCCTTGGTTCAGTGGAAATGAATTATTTTCTAAAGAATATCAAGGCATCTTTTGCAACCTGCAAACAAGTGGCTTGCAGGTTTATCCCCAGAATGCCATATTCCATCAATGTTTTAGATACTGGAAACTCCTAGAGAAAGGACCACCTCCCTCCCATAATAAATGTGAGTCAGAGACAGGGATATCAACATAGAAACCTGGCACAGGAGGAGCATAACTGCGAGGCAGAGAGAGATGGCCACACACTCATTCTCGCCAAGATTGAGGTGATCAGAAGACCCAAGTATCCTCAGCAGTCAGAATCTCCATAACACTGGGCCATGCCTGCAGCCAGGAAGCAGTTGATATGAGACCTCCACTGTGGAGCAAACTCACCTCTGGAAGGCACAGTCTTGCTGGAGTCAGGCCAACTCACAGATAGTTCTGCTTAAAGCTAAGAAAAGAGGACAGGGAGCTCCCAGCATTTCCAAGCCAGGCAGCCACCAAAATAGACTGGAGAGGCAACTCTTTTCATTTGTCCCAGACTGAGTACCATAGTAAGATGTCCTCCAGCTTGCAGAACTTCCTCAGGCCTAGCATTCATTTGGAGAGTGTCATGGTTTGGTCTGGCTTGGTCTCCAAATGGTCATATACCTACAGGCCAGCTCCCTGCTGTGACCATCTTTCCTCCTCTGGTCCATCTCTTACAAGACAGTTGCTACAGAAGACCACCTGAAAGGCTACAGGGGAGTGATGAGGAACTGTTTTTGTTAAATCTCTTCTTCCTCTTCACTAACAATCTCCTTCACGTCCTGAGGCCCCTGCTCTGCCCTCTCTCTTACATAGGCTGCCTTGATCTGTTCCAGCTCACACAGCTCTGCCTCCAGCTCTTCCCTGTGCATTGACCGCCGGTTCCTCAGCAGTTTCATGGGGAAGGGGTTTAAGTCATTGAAGGCAATGTTCATCAGCTTCCTACAACGGAAAAGACAGATCAGGTGAACTAATTTACTGGCTGGTAACAGATGGCAACATATATGCCAAGTGCATCTTGGGGTCAGCAAAGAGTAGGACCTCAGATTTCAGCTCTCTGAGATTGAAAGTCACCAAGCAGCAGAGACTTAAAGGAATCTCAGACAACTCCTTCTCACACAAACACCAAGCCAAGCAACACCTTTAACAGCCTTACACCACACCATCTTTTAAAGTACCAGCATGCAGCCACCAGTCAGAAGATGGTGGCTCAGATGCCAGTCCTGATGGCTCCTGGAGAAGGGATACTCCCAATGTTGAGCTCTTCTCATCTCAGAAATCTTTCTTTTAGACACATGTTGCCATTAAAGGCTGTGAGTGCTGCTGTGTTTCCAAATACCTCAACTACAGCTGAGAGCTATCCAGCAAGTGACAGCACAAGTTCCAGGTGCTGCAAAAAGAAAGCTGGCCTAGACTTAGTGGCCTGCTCTCCTTTTGCATGCCTTTGCCTGTGCCAAAAAGACTTTAAGTAAACACCATGAAGAGAAAGTCAAAATCAGACAAACTGATCTATGTCCCATGGACCGGCCAATGTGCACACAACTCTCTTAAGAGACTGGTCACAACTCTTTTTAGGTTGACCCAACAGGTAAACAAGTACAAACCCACAGTGGAAGGTGGTTTAAAACCCACAGTCTTACCTGCCATCCATGATCATTCTCGTGAAAAAGCGTAGGTACTGGTAGATCTCCACACTGTCATGAATTCTTAGGATTTCCTCCTCATTGTATTTAAAAATGGCAAGAGCATAGCGGAAAATCACCTGGAGGGTTGAAAGGTATTTGAGTTGACAAAGTCTTAGGCCGTTGAGGGAACAGGCCCTGCTGGCATAAAACACAGGGTGGAGCACTGCAGTACAGGCTGGACACTAGGCTTTTCCTGCTCTCCATAGGCTGCATTAGGGCAGGCCTAATGAAACACAGCTAATCCCAAGAGAATGACCCACTGTAAGCTAATTTACAACCCCAGAATACACCAGGTCCTCCAAAAGGACCCTACAGGGATTTTCCAAGGGTTGTCCAGTTCTCCTTATGAACAGGGGCAATGCAATTCTCATGTTTTCAGATACTAATTCTCTACCCATCTTCTGCTCCCTGCATCTGTCATACTCTCAGTTGTGTCCAGGTCACAGAGTAAAGAACACCATGGCCTGTCAGAGAGCTGTCTCACAGCAGCACTACCTGCTAAAAATTGTCAGGGCTAGTGTGCACAGAATCAGCAAATAAGTCTGCCTACTGGCAGGAAGTACATAAATACAGAGGCTGGGAGGCAACAAGGCACCCCTCCAGACAGACAGGACAGAGAAAGGGTCAATCCCACATCTCTTTGATATGTGTATGTCCACTGGCCTGCTATCATGTCACAGAGCTGCTGCAGAAGGGAGGAAGGTCTAGACTGAGAGTTGTACCTTAGTTCCCTCATACAAGAAGGCATCCCACACTCGCAGGAGGATGTCACTGACGAGGCTGTCCACAAAGGCCACCAGAAACCAATTGAAGGTGATGAGTGAGACATCAATACTATACTGCTCAAAATGAGCCATGAGGCGAGGGAGCTTCTCTGACAGGAAGTCTTTGAAGACTCTCTGATCTACCTAAAGTTGACAAAAAAGAAAACGATGAAGTCCTAGTCAAAAGCAGTCCTGGTTTTGGAGAGCTGTGGTGAAATAGGACAGTGGCTCACAGATGCCATGTGTGTGTTCTAGGTATTCTAGCCTAACCACACCCTAGGAAAAGCAGAGTATCCTTTGTCAACCAACCCTCCAAAATTACTGAGCAGTGTACTTGCACACTGTACCCAGTGCAAGGTGTGGAGCTGAAGCACGGACAAGACACAAACAGAGATACATACATTCTTCCGAATCAGAGGATCATATTCCTTCACAACCTCAAAGTCAAGAGGGAAAATGCTGCCACATCTTCCCACATAATTTTTAGTAAGATTTTCTGTGAACTCACAAACATCCAATTGAATTACAGGGATTAAAACCTACCAAGGTCTGAATTACAGCACATGGCCCAACTGGATAAACACCCAGAATCCCTCTGACTTCACAAGCAGGACCTGATCACTTTAACTTCTCCTTGTGTTCTGAGCACTGTCTGTGCTCTGCTTAAGGTTGCATGAGCCAAGACACAGAAATGTAGTTGGTGAGATCCCTGACTTAGGTTTATAAAGGCTTCATCTCAGGAAAGAGAAAGTCATGGTTTCATGAGGGGAAGTGCTAAGGAGCAAGTCCATGGTTACGTCTTTCCCATATCATACTACTGCCCCAGCTGTGTTAGGCAACTTAGCTGTGGCAGAGTGATACAAACCAGATGAGGTGATATGCTTGGGCTTTAAAATCTGTGAGAGCTAAGCCTTAAGTTTCCATCCACATCAGAACTTTCACTTCATCAAGCCAACCTACAAAGCACCATCCCCATGTCTTCCTCTTTATGTGGGTCTTGCCTAGGTCTTGCCTAGACTTTCAGAGACCAACCATCAGGTCAGGCAGTCTTTCTAAAAAGAGCTCCCCCAGCTGACAGTCTCTCCTCACCAGATGTAGGGGAGCCTCCGTGTCTTCAGTCTGCCACGTTTTACCAGTCAGTCACTATTTGTCACATATTGAGTGTTGCCTATTAAATTTCATAGCTAACACTATCTGGTCTGATAGACATGTTGCTGTCTGCACAGTGATTTGTCTGCTTCTCCAGTCTGTGGGTTGGCCTCTCCACCAGCAAAACACTGCCTCAGTAAACACTAGTCAACACATTCAGTGTCACAATCAGTCACTCTCAGCTTCTGATGCTTGTAGCCTTATCTGTTGTGGGCACACAGATATAACTCTTACCTCTCTAAATGGACCACACACAATAAAGACACTGAAATTACTCAGGCTCACCCGGCTGCTGGGTATGGGTAGTGTGGGAGCACAATAACAATTCCATTTAGCTATAGAGGATTTATCTTGGTTCTGTGTCTGCCTGGGATGATGTAGGATACCTGATATAAGACAACACCTTTAAAACGTTGAAATCCAGTGACTTTGAACCAGGAGGGTAAGTTACTCAGAGAACACCATTTGACATCAAATGGCCAGAGGGCCTTCTGAGCTGCAGGGAACCCCAAAGCCAGAACTAAAGCTGTATCTGATCATGAAATGAGGCAAGTACATCGAATATAAAAATCTCAGTATTTTCTTCTATCTGCACATAGCATTCCAAAGATAGGATGCAGATACCAAAGAAACATCTGAAGGCCTGCAGAATTGTGCCTTTTTCATACTTAGTTCTATAGTTGTCAGAGTTTGCTGCTTCATCTCCACTAGGCTCTTCTTAAAATAAGTAACTGTGCAATTAATGGGCACCTTCTTTCTGACTAACCTGATCTTCAAGTGATTACTTAGGAATGGTACCCAATTTCCCAGAGCAGGAGATAATTTTACTGCTTCTCTGTGTGTAACAACTTTGTAGTCTCAAGTCTGCAACACCTCTGCAACAGAAGGGCTTGCAAGATGCTATCACTGTCCTGTGAGAAATCAAACACACTGCAAGCTGACTGCTTGCTTTTACACCTTTGCTGTAAATCACTGTATTGGAGTTCAAGCAGATGTGAGGGTGCCCAGCTCACCTGTGATGTTATCAGTGTGTCACTGTAGTAGTCTGCTGGCATTAGGTTTTCCACAATATGGACTAGGCACCAGAAAGCACTTTCCTCATCTTCCAGGACCAGGAGGGCAACAGCTGCCAATCTATGATAGTAAGATAAGGTGAGGCAATGCAACACTGCAGGAGGAGACATAGGCCAGCAGAGGAACTGGAGAATCCAAGATTCCTCTTGGCATGTCTCTAGTTGCATAAGTGTCCAAAACATCCACTGTGGCTGGACAGTTGGTCAGAGTGGCAAATTATCATGCCTCTGTCAGCACACAGAAAGGATCAAATATGGAACTAGTACGACACACTTCCCAGCTAAGGGGATGTTCTGTATATCTGCTGAAGTCAAGAGTGTGATGACTTTAGCTATTTCAACACAGGAAGGAGCTCACTCAGAGACACTCCATGTTATGTGACATAGCTCACCTTCCCATACATTATTCTACAGCCCTTACCCCCTCCAGCTCTGACTTACCCCCTTTCAGCCAGACTGGAAAGATTATGTTTAATATCACAGGCTCTCTCGAGTGGAAATGTCCTTCTGAAGACTATCCAGAGAACAACTGGAATAGCTTACACAGACTTTCCTCATGTGAAAAGGTCTGATCAGAAATGCCCTTCTTGCAGCTTGTGTGTGGTGTCTCTTTTACTTGGCAGCACACTTCTAAGAAATCTGGTTTTATATTTCCTAAAGCCTTCTTTGGGAAGTGAAAAAAAGCTTTTAGATTCTCTTCTCCAGATAGAACACCCCCCATTTCCTCAGCCTCTCCTCATGTCCCTGCAACTCCCTCATCTCTAACACTTCCCAACATTTCCTCCAACCCTTCATAGAAAAAAAGGGAATACCCAGAGTGTTTTTATGCTGAGCACATTAAGACTTACATATTCAGCCCCAGCCTCATGGTGTTAATCTGAGACTGCCTCACTGTACCTCTTATAGCTGCTCCTTCCTATTCTGTAACTATGGAGATGCCGAACAAGTGCATCCTGCTGCTTGCTTGATTCCGGCAACAACACTGGTGAAAAATAGAAACATCAAGTGCAGAATTCTGCAGGAAAATATGTAGAACCAGGGCAGAACTCTAGAGAGGCAGAATGCTGGGATTGCTTGAATCATAGGCTACAGTGTGTGTTTCAGTGCTAACCTACGAAGGAGTAGCATACTTGGCTCCTCACCTGTTCAGCCCCTGGCAGTATCCAATAGCAGGATTGTGCCAGGAGAATGCGAGCAACACTCTCCGGAGCTTGGGGATGAGCTGGGAGGTGGGAGATGAAAAATGTTTGTTGTTGGTCAGCGTGCGGGGCAAGTCAAGCTCAATCTGCCGGCAGGCAGGGTGCTCGGTGCTCTTGCTCTGCCACAGCAGCCGCTGGTAATGGTCAGGCAGGTGGCTGCAGTGCCTGCTGACAATCCACCTCCAGACCCGCTGCCGATGCTCCACTGGAATGCCACTTCGGATCAGGCTCTTCAGCTCTGCAGAGGGACTCAGCTCTCCAACACTGTTCCACTTGTCACGGAGGGGCTTCTCCACTACTTCCTGGCTTCGCAGGTTGTTGGACTTTATCTCCAGGGCTTGAATTTTGGCCAGAAGCTTCCAGTCCTCAACTTCATAGTCAGGTACAGTCATAAACCCATACTCATCATACTCACTGGAGGGATGCAAGGCAGAGGTTAGTTCAAAGGACAGAGCAAATCTCCTGCTGATCAGAAAACACCGTAAGTGCTGATAGTACAGCTCATTGAGGGCTTGTGCATCATCAGTTCACAGGCTGGGATACGTGTAAGATACCACTGTATTATTGACAGAAAGACCAAGCCTGACCTTGGTGTCTCATCTCCAAAGCTACGTGAAGAACCAGCAGGCATTATTGAGCAGACAAAATCCTACAGAACTGAGGCACATAAACACATACGCAAGGATCCCAGCAGTGCTGGTGCCAGGGCTCTCCAGAGGTCTTCAGTCCAGCCTCCCTTTCACTGCAGGATTGACCCCAGCTCTAGAAAAGGGTAATAGTGGCTTTGTATGGCTGGGACTAGAAAACTCCAAAGGAAGCCACACATCTTCTCCTCCAGCTGCCTGAAAACCATGTCCTTCTGGAAGGAACTGTTGGGGCAAGATCCAGACATGTGGGGAACAGGCAGAGATCAACAGGCTCTGGGCAATGGTGGGAGCCAAGTGTGAGTCCCAGCATCCTCATGGCATGGGTGCAGACCTGCATCTTCCAAGCCTCTGCATGGCAGAAGCAAGCTCAACACGCACCTCCCCAAAAGTGGATACTCCTGGGTTTATTGCACCTGAGAGCTGTGGTCATGCACTGGCATGGAGAGGCATGTTTTCTACTTTTAAACCAACATTTATCATGAATAAGCTGTGTAATGCAAAGCCCTGAGAACATCACCCAGCAGAACTAAATGCCATTCCATTCCCCATCTGCTCCCATGGAAAGGCTTGGCTGGAGCTTGGGCAGCTGGCAGTTCTGCACTAGGTTGCTTTTCTGGGGTAAAGGTCCAAAGTTCAGCTTCATTAAGCACTGCCACCCCAGCAAGGATGCAAACTACCTCCAAGTATTTCAAGCAGTTCCTCCAAAGCCAGGTTGAATGTAGCTTTGAGCAATGTGGTCTGCTGGAAGGTGTCCCTGCCCATGGCAGGGGAGTTGGAACTAAATGATCTTTAAGGTTCCTTCCAAGCTGAGCCATTCTGCGACCGTGTGCGATTCTGTGATGGAGATCCCCCATGTCCCAGGTCACCTCCCCTTCTACAGGAGTTTATCCTCACCTCCAGTGTTTACCTCCAGGCACACCATGGGTGTTGTTACTTGCCATACTGTCTGCCACTGCTGAGAAAAGTGTAGCTGTACCATCTTTAATCTTCCCTTCCTACAGTGCTATGTTGCTATCAATCAGATACTACTCATGGTCTCCACATCACCAAACTACACCAGTCTTCTGAACCTAGGTTGACTCCTAGGTCATAGCTCAAAGCCTCTTGTCCTGAAATGTCTCTGGATCTTTCTTAGCTACACATCTCTCTCCACAATCAGACTCCTACAAGGGTGTGTATTTCCCATGCTCGTTTCTTACCTGACAGGGTTCAGGTTAAAACCTTCTTCTGCTTCTTCCTTCACATCCCACTGGAGGGCTTCCTGGATGAGGTTCCTCACCAACTCAGCATCAGTGCTGGGCAGGCCAGGAAGAGCCTCTTGCAGCTTCCGCAAGACTGTCAGGTATTTGCTCTCCATCTGGCAGTTTTGTGCTTGCAGGCAGGCACACTGATGGAGAAACAAGAGAGAATGAGCTGGCTCATTGATGGTTCTTCCTGTTGCCACAGCTTTCTGCTGGCCTGGTCTGCACATACAGTGAAGACTCCTGAACAGCAAAGCCCCAGAAGACAAATTCAGCAGTTTTCTACAGTCAGTGGAAGTGCAGCCATGAATGAATTGCCATCGTCTGTGAAAAAGCACAAGCTGCAGTAACTAGCATGTCACAGAAGTCCGCTATTGAGGGGCAGACCTACTACAGCATCTCCTACTTCAGCTACTGGAGTGTGTCAGTGGGTGGCCATATCCTGGCCAGCTCGGCTGAGGACGTAACCAAAGAGCCACCGTGGCAGCTGAATCCTCTGCAGTCTTTTTTCTCTGCTCCTCAGACAAGCTCTTTACCCCACACTGAGCTGTATCTTGACAAAACACACCACTCCTGGGAAAGCTATGACCATGCCATTTCAGGATACATGGTAGCACCACAGACCGGGTGACCACATGTCCCCCTGCAACCCCAGTCCCATAGCACTGGTACACAACATTTCTCAAGTCCAGAAAGCCCAATTGAGTTCATATAGCAGGACAGTTCCTGCCACCATCATACTCCTGGGCACACAAAGCCCTACATATAGTGTTGCTTTTCTTATTTGTATTCAAAAGCATAACTGAAAAGCAGAACTCTGGGTTAAGTTTCAGTGTCATTAAGACTGAACTTTCCAGGAACTTTACTTTCACTGAAGAATGAAAATGATGATGTCTAATTTGGGAACAACACAAAGCAGAAAAAAAAAAGGTAGCACTGAAAGAACACATTGGGAAGAAAGCTTATTTCTGGTATGTTTTGGACCAAAATCCATCTTAGTGCCGACTTTGGAAATTAGTTAGTAACAGCTCTCAGTAAGGAAAAAAAGTAATTTTCCCTTACCTTCATCAGAAGGGCTTTTTCATTCTCAGCAACACTTGTCCAGAGTCGAGTAACCTGGTGGATCTCTGAGTTGAGAAACTGGTTCTGGGTTTTGTATGCATCAATATCATCCTGCCACAAAGCAAAACAGTCACACAAGGAGAGTTCTTGTGGGGTTTGGAATGCCCTCTCAGTTCAGGGACCTCAGTTGTGGACTGTGTTAAGGATAAAAAAACATATCAACAATTTTGTGTTCTGGAAAGAAGACGGACTCCAGACAAGCTCCCAGGACAAATATTGCCTACAAAGGAAATCAAGCCACAGTATTAAATAGGAGTTTCATGCATAGACAAGGCACTTGAAAATGATGTATACTGCATGTATATGCTTAGAAAACATGGAGACATCCAGGTGATATAAAGCTAAATAAGCATCTAAGTAAGATGAAGAATATATGGGTTTTGTTCTACATTTTTTTAACTGTCACAAATCTCAGCCAAAACAAATACTCTCCCACAATTCAGGAAGTGGCTCTTTTGGCAATTTTCCACCTCAAACTAACTGGTCATTATAACTGTGCATATAGTAACATACAGCAAGCTGGATTGGAAAGAACCAGGATGCATTAGGAAACTCTTTGCAAGAAGGAAACACAGAGGAACAAAGTTAGTGAAGGTAGCAAGTGAGACTGCAGCTGTGGAACAAAATAAAAGCAAAGAAAGAGGCAGGCACCAAATGGTGACACAAAGTCAAACAAAACAGGTTATAAGATGAAGTTGACTCAGCTGCTCTTGGTTGAGTCCCTTCCAGCCTGCCTTCAATCTGGAGACAGATGAAGCAACAAGAAGAAATATATTCTATCATTCCCACAAGGAACACCCTCCCACTGAACCAGAAGGCACAGAAATGGGAGCCCCTAAATGACCTGTGCTATCTCACACACCTTCAGGTGCTCAATCTCCTCCTGCTGCTTATACAATGTCTCTGCAGTGACAGTGCTGGCTTCTTGCAGAGGGTCAGAGAGCTCTCGGGCCATCTGGTCTGTCAAGACCATGATGACTTCCTGTTTGGCATGGTTCTTCTCCATCAGAAGCTGCACGTGCTCCTTGAGTTCCTGGATGTGGCTGTCTTTCAGAGACAGAATCTGCTCCAGTTCCTTCTTTTCTTGCTCAAGAGCTTCCAGTCGACTGGTGAGATCTGCAATTTGTCTCACTTTGTGGCGCACCAGCTCCAGCCTGTCCTTATCTTCTGCTGCAGTGAGATACATGTTAGATACTCGCTTCTCCTGCTGGGCTGCCTCCAGAGCTTTGTGGAGAAGTTTAACCAGCTCCTGGAAAGGGAATGCAAAGCCATTACCTTACAGTGCTCCCAAGGGCAATGGCAGCAGAGGCAGCAGAGGCAGCACAGACTCAATCAGTAGTAAGTGAACAATGAAGGGTCCTCAGGATTTTGCAGTTGAAGCTTTTAGAAGTAAAACTGAATGCAGCAATCTGGAAATCAGTGCATCCCCAGCAGAGAAGCTCCACTCTCATAGCTGGGCCTGGAAAGTCTCTGCAGCAGACCACAGACAGCTTGACTTCAGGTGGACTGCTAACAGACAAGCTGCTGCTTACACTGTCTGAATATTTACTTCCTACAGTCACCCTTCTTGGGAGGCCCAGCAGTGACCAGAGGAGCTGGAGATCTGGTCAGCAGTGTGATAAATCAGGAGGGAGAGAAGTAATGTTGTGTTACCAGAATAGTGTTAGCAGAAGGAAACTGCTGTATACATTTTAACTTCTCTACCAGAGTCCTCCCTCACTCCATCCCACATGAAGGCACAAAAGCTTGCCCCAGCAATATGCTGCTAATTCAGGCTCTGCCATCTCAGCCATTTAAGGAAGTAAATCATGGATGCAACTGATTTATTGCCCACCATGAGACCTGGCTCTCCTGCCTGTTCTGCTGAAAGAGCTACCAGCATCAATAGTGGAGAGCTTGGCATTGCTCCATGCTTGTGAAGAACAGTATCATTAAAGAGACAGGCCTTGCAGACACCCATATGCTGAATTCCATAATGAAATCACCTCCTAATGGTGGGTTGCTGCTCAAAAAGAATGACCCACTGCTAACAGCATGACTCAGACAGGAAGCTCCTGCCAGCATCACAGTACATGTTCAGGCCTGTACTTTGTATGTTCACTGAGCAATAGGGATGCCCTAGCCAGACACTTGCAGAGCATATTTGGATTTGGTTTACCTCCCTTTTCCAGCCCATTTGCTAGCTACACTTCCTAGCAGTAGCTGAAAGATAGCCCATTCTTCCTTGTGCTGGGCACAATCAGGCACATACAAAGAGGTAACACCAGGACCTTCAACCGATCCCCAGTGAGTGCCTGCTGAGCACTTATCAGCCTAGCACCAAGGTACAAGGAAGTGCCTGTGACCAGTCCCAGGGTCTTGCTTTTTGAAGCAGCAGACTCTTTCTCACACTCACCTTCTGTGACTTGACTTCTTCTGTGAGTGTCAAGATCTGTTGCTGTAGGACACTCACTTTATCCATTGGGCTCCTCTCCCTGGACAGTTCTTCAGGCAAGCCTGGGAAGCCACAGTTCATCCATCTGTTTTTCCTGAGCCGGTTCAGCCTGGACTCCATCCTTCCATCCTCTGGGATCCTCTCCTTAACTGAAGGGATATAGGTTAAATTTATACTGACTTGCTTTGTTTCTATGGGTTCCTGAGTCTTGCTATTGGGGACTCGCAACAGGTCAGCAAAGACTGATACACAGAACAAGAAGAACTGGCCCACTAGGATCCAAAAGGTTGAAGTATAGATCATAGGGATGAGCCACAATAACCTCCAGAATAAACAAAGCCATGATGTTTCATGTTACCTGTTAACCCACCTTGCACCCCACCCATTTATCATGCACACAGAAAATTCAAGTTACCGTCATGGAGAGGTAACTTCCCAAAAATGCAGTGGAGCTGATGAGCTTAGTCTGTGACATTCAGCAATTTAACTTCTATCTCAAAGAAATACCAGTATAGGTTGGCCTCATGAATGGTACTTTTGCCCCTGCATAAGATTCCAGAGATACAAGATAGACAGATGGACCCTGAAGCAGAACCAAAAGAGTCAGTCTTTTGTCAACAACACAGGAAGGGACCTGAGAAAATTGATAGAGTTTTCAGGTGTTATGGTGACTTGTCACCCTCCACTGCCCTTTCCTGCTAAGTCTGACTCCCTGCTAGAAGGCATCATACTCGGACCAGCTAGCCCATCTCAGTAACAAGCACCTGCACAATCTGCCTCCACTTCTGCCTCTTGTTCCTTATCCGGGTTTTCAAGATGCTCCGGGACTTCACTGAAGCTAAAGACATTCCCATTGTTCCCCCAGAGCTGCTTGGAGCCACAGATACTGTAGACAGTGTTTCTGAAACAAGAAGAGATGAAGACAGCCTAGTGAGCAGAAGAAATTGTCACTGCAGCCAGTGCATATTCAAATTATGCAATTCCTTACTTCTCCTTATGTGCCACC